TGGGACCAGAGATGTGCCCACAGCACACGTGTACCATCCTGAGTCAGACTGGGTCAGATTTCTGATGGTCACAGACACAGATCCTCTTCCAGAAGATCCACCTGTATATTTAATGCTGTATCTGCCTCTGCTAGCGCTGATGCCATCTGTTTTAACGAGAATGTTTTCTTCTCTACATTCTTCTTTACAGAAGAACTTTCCGCTTCCAGATGTTGTGAAGTGGCATCTGACTGTGCCACTTCCTCCTTCAGCTCCTGTAAAAATGTTGCGTTTTGCACTGATGGTGTTTCCATCCCACAGTGCTGGTGGAGGCATGAACAGGGAATACTGAAGGTCAGTACCTCCTGTGTTGCAGACATACTGTACTTTCTAACTTTAGTCACATAATTATGCAAGAACAAATAATGGATAAGTCAAAAAAGATTGGATTAAATTGCAGTGGGTAGATTAGACTGTGGAAGTACTGCAGCAGAAAGTGGTAACAGAACACATCCGAGAGCAGCAGGACGTCTGAGGAAGACAGCAAGTGAAAAACAAATATACACTAACACTGCAGCATCAAAGAGACAGAGACAGGTGATCAGTCCTCACCTGATGTGAAGCAGAGGAACAGAACGTGGTGGAGTTTCATCCCGAGTTTGTTCCTGATGGAGAAAGCACAGGAGAAGTGTCTCTATCACTTCATTCCTCTGTCTGACCAGAAACCTTGTACTTTGCCTTGTACTTTTGTTATGACTTGACATTGACACATGTCTAAAACTTCCTGTCTGATATCGCGCTAGCTTCCACCCCTGACTGGTGCATTCCCATGTTATTGTCCTACCCAAACATCCTATTTTATCAGGAAACATAAGAAAGGAAGATGCAGTAAAAAGGAAAAGATGTCAGAGCAGGTTACTTTCTCCAAATTCAAAAGCTGTTGTTTTCACATATAAAGATCCAACCAGGAGCGTGTGCGCTTAATGCAACTCATCGGATGTTTCCGCTGGCGTCCCTGTGGTCTGGGCTCCAAGGCGCCAGCCACTGACCTTTATTGTATCTCCCCCTCCCTCATTTCCCGTGGCCTCCTCTCTGTTTGTAATGCACAAAAAAATGCACTCAATGTTTTTTAGATTAAATAATAATAATAATAACATTTCTTACTATGTTGATAAAGAAGTAAATACAAGTGGCATTAAGTTTCTCTTAAAGGAATGGAAATTTGCTTTATTGTGTTGTATGTGCTGAATGGTCTCCCATTAAAGAGAGATCTCAATCTCAAAAGGATTTCCTGTGAAATAAAGATAAAATAAATAATAGGTGCAGTTTATAAGATCTAGAATGATTTATTACCAGAAAGGGGATATAGTATGCATAACTGTGTTTTCATTAATGTGTCATCAACTGAAAATAAGAATGAGCCTTGTTTTCTGACTTATCTACAACGTTACAACGGTGAATTCTCACCTTAGACATGACTTAAAGCGTAAAAAATGAGGTGAAGGTATGTTCTAGTATTTCTATGCAGAAGCAACTCAGTTTAGTCTCACAAACTCTCACTCACGAGACGTTTTTTCTAACAAAATAAAGTAGTACGTTACCCGTTCATGAGCTTGCCTGACATCCACTGGTGGCGCCACTATATTGGCAAAATGTTACACTGCCTTGTTTGTTATGTATGTTTTCAATGAATACATAACAAACATCCACTAGTGTCGTTGTAAAAGCGAAATTTTTTGACTGCACCTGGTTTTGTGGATCTGTTTCCCCTCCTGCTGCTGCGATGTGACCAGAAGATGTGGAGAAAAATACAGGGCCTGAGGTTACTGCATGTCCGGGAATGTTCCTGTACAGGGACTCGACCGGGTCTAACCTAGGAGCCCTGTGAAGCCTCCACAGTGGTGACTGATCAGCTGATTTACCAACCTTGGAGCTACTTGAAAGGGAGCGATGTTTCCACTAACCAGTGGGACTTAACTGTAAGTTTAAAAAAACCACATTGTGTGTCTGTTAATGCCTTGTTTCTGTAACGTTAGAGAGAATTGTTGTAAGGCTGGAGAAGTTACTATGTCTGCATTATGCCAGTTAAAATATGGGGTTTCTCAGTTACCTGCTTTGTTTAGAATGTTACACATCTCTTTTCATCGGTACATATACTGTTGTTTATCCCTATGGAGAAGACATTCATAAATAATGCCATCCTGGCTCGTTGTGCTGTCCACTTGTGACACAACACCAGCAGCAGGAGTTGTGTGTGTTCACAAACTATCCTCTTGTTTGAAAGAAGAGGCTTTCTGGCTCTCTGATTCTGAAACTATTACAAACTATTTCGAGTTATGATGGGTGCCAAGATAATCTAGTGGTACCCAAGATTAAACATTAAATGGCTGGAAGTGAGCAAAATGAACAGCCACGGGCTCTTTAAACACTCAGGTTGTTAACTTTGTGACATTGATTTATTACTGCACAGCAAATGCAGGATGTGGTCAAACGGTCCTTGATAATGATCTGAGGAACTGGCTCCTTTGCAACTTCTACAGCTGCATCATTGAGAGCATCTTGACCAGCTGCATCATTGTCTGGTATGGCAGCACTACTGCTATGGACCGCAAGCGCCTGCAGAGAGTGGTAAAGACTGTGGAGAAGATCACTAGGACTCCACTGCCCTCTCTGCAGAGCATTTACCACTGCAGGGTGTGTAGGAAAGCTGCCTCCATCCTCAAAGACCACCCACAACCCCAGCAC